TGGTGGAGGGTGAGCAGGCACCTATCGGAAATGCATGCGAGGCTTACCCGAGCTAATGTCGTCAAAGGCTACTTGTATGTGGGTTATAGTTGAAACACCTTGGAGCTAAGGCAAGATCCTAACATGCTTGGCTGTCGAATCCAAAACAGCGATCAAATATCATATGAAAACTATGAAAAAGCTATATTTTTTGCACAAATCAGTTTTTTGTGAAATGCTACTCCTATATTCAAAGAACCCTTTGGACATAGGCAAAATCACACGATCTACGGTCTTTGAGTCGAACACAGCGATCAGATGCGAGCTCAAAGCCCGGAAAGCGCCTATATATTGTGCCTAAATCAGACTTCGTGATAGGTCATTTGTCGATCGAGTCAGGTTTCGAACTCAAGCCGGATGACAAGGTCTCAGCTTCTTGAGCCTTTACCCTCGAACTCGAATAAGCATGCATGGCCGAAAACAGACAGCACAGGTGATTCGAGTTTTTTTGTACTGTTCGAAATGTGTCTAAAAACCTATATTTTTCTGCTATCCCACGAGGTGAATTGTCGAGAACACCTGTGATACTGCGTTCCAACTATAGCTTTAGGACATTCGCACTTGCGTCGGCATCAGCCAGATCGACTTTTGCAGAAAAACTAAGGCTTTCTGTACTTGCAAATACTGGCATTGATAATTTTTTGAAGACTCAAGTTAATACTAGTATTAATACGAATATTAGCACTTATATTAAGGCTGATACGAATATGACAATACGAATACTAATATCAACATTAATATTCCTACGACGACCAATAATCATATTCATATTGATATTAAAATGTAAAGTAATACCAATACTAATACATACGTGCATATGCTAATGTATATAATGATACATACCTATATATTACAATACAACTATATATTAACGCGCTCATGTACCAATCTATTTTCACATACCCTGATACCAATATGCGAATATACTACTACATTACTGTATGAATATTAATATGCGAATATACTAATATAATATACCAACACTGGAATATACAAGTATACTATAGTATACTGGTATACTGATATACTATCATACCAACATGTTCGTATACTTATAAAGTATTTGGTTCATATACGAATATAGCCGTACACACAAATACGAAAAGCTAATGTATTGAAATATTAATATACGAATATACCATTATACTAATATTCTAACACATCATTGTACTCATGCACCAATGTACTGATAGATTCATATACTAGTATATAAGTATACAAAAAACTATACTAGCATGGTATATTAATCTGTTTATATACCAGTCTATTAGTATAGTAACATATGAACACTGATTCTAACATTAATGCTAATACTAGTGTTAATGCGAACACTGACATTGACACTGACACTAACACGAACACAAGCACTAACACTAACTTATACTTACTGTGATTGATTTTTTTAATACGTATACTAAATACTAAATACTACTGCTAGTACTAATACTAAACTAATGTTCATACTAATACCAATACTACCATAAAGCCACGACTCATATTAACACTAATAATAAGTTTTAGCCTACTAGAAACAAAATAGTGGTACTACGAGTAGAGGTAAGAACAAGGCTGAGTCAAGACTAAAGTTAAGACTAAGACAAACTGTAGCTAGATGCTTTGGTCTTCAGCGCGCATCTAGAGATCAGCCAGATTTTGCAGCGAACCTCTGGCAGAATAACATGTTGCCCGGGAAGAGATTGTCGTGTATCATATAGTTGTGATG